TATGCATACACCAAATTTGCAAAATTGTTGTCTCTTTTCAATCATGATCCATATGTTTTTGTTTTTTATGATTCTGGATACGATTCTCATATTTTTATCACGCGATTTCAGAAAGTCCTCGTTGCGTTATTAAAGAGCAAAAAAAAAATTAAATGAATCCAAGTTTCACGTGAGTTTCTACAATTACACAGTAAAGACATTTATTTTTCTAGAAAAATCTAACCAGAAATAAAACGTTCATAATATGCATTCATATCGGTACACCGAGAAAACTAACTCTTCTTCTCCCACAAGAGTACTCTACAAAGTTCGTTTGTCCAGCAATTGAGAGACTCAAAGGGTAATAAAGTAGCTGCAGTAGTTCTATTGTTTTAGTATTCTTCAATCTCTTTCCACGTTTCAACTAATAATTCAAACTAACGACCCTCACTAAGGCAAGCTTGAATAATAAGCAATTATCACTTGCGAGTCACGAACAAAGGACGCAATATTTTTACTTAATAACCTTACCTCGCGAGGGTTCAATTTTCACTTGTTCATTCACGGATCCATGTGAAATAACAATCTCGAGTGTTTATTTTGACATTTACGAGTTCTTGGTCATTTACATCGACACGATAATGGATTGTGAATTTATAGTTTTTATATAGAATTTATACTCTTTAGTGAACCCGCCTCTTGCGCCAGATGGTGTGGGTTTGATCGCTACCACTGGAAAAACATTGTTCGATAAACATAGTGTTTTTACAGTGTCCAGTGTTTATACAGGCATAATATGATTTACAATAATTTATACTTTTTAAATAAATACCTATACTTAAGTTACACTTTTAAAAACTTGTTTTATTTACAAAAAAAAGTTAGTTTAAGTCTGTTTATCAGTTATCTAGTACCCATAGTACAAGCGTTGCTTAGTTTGAGACTAGAGAACGTTGTGTAAAACTGTGTTTAGGATATTTATTTATTTATTATTATTATTATTATATTTGATTATTTTAATATTACTTGTCGTTTTAATTTTCACAATGACCGCGTGATTGTTACGTAGGAGGTATTCCATTAATAACCTTATTAAAACTGATAAATCTTGGTCGTCATACATTGTGAATTTATTGAAGAGTACATGTAATTACCAATAAACATGATAACATGTCTTGTGAGTGAAGATCGACTGCATATGATCTTAATGGACAATGTCAAATTGTTTGCTTGTTAAAACAAAATCGTTCATCCCTGATCTTATTACAGTTTGCTCGTCCTGGCTTTGTCGATGAAGACAAATTTAAGTTGTACTAAATTTTCGGTGTCACAAATATGAGTACCTACATATTACATTCTGAAATAGGCCACATTTAGCGATATCTTTTTAAATAACCGAAACTAGATTATATTAGGGTAAGCACACAGGAACCGCAACATCGGTCCGTTTTTTGCTTTTGTGATTGACTAGTTTTTAAAATAATATTAATTAAATATTTATTACAAAAATAACCTTTACTTGAACAAAATAGAGCCTGTGACTTCTCAAAACTAATACATTATGAGATATTACTGAAATATGATTAATAAATTTCAAATTATTTACACTAACATAAAAAACAAATAAAAACAGCATAATATCAAATGTAAATTTACTAAAATTTTAATATATCACAGAGGGTATAACGAAGCGACGAAAACGGACACAGCGCCTGTTTAATTTTACTGCATATCTTCAACAGTACTTTATTGCGAATTCTTTTCTTACAGGCATCACAATAATTGCACTATTTCGTTTTCATCACAACGAAAACTTTTATTTCGTGAATAGCTGGGGTCTCGTTTCTCTTCAATATTGAAGCTGCTCACAAATGATATTTCTATAAATACACCCGATATAATCGACCCCATGTTAGATGTCCATGGGTACCGAGCGGTGCGCGTCGTCTGGAAATAAAAAGGTGCTGAAGGTCACAGTACACGGGCGAGGCGAATCCCGCAAGCGTCTTTTTCATCGTATACGTGATGAAATCAAAAACCTGAATAATTCCTAAAAATTCTTTTAAAAATCAGCAAATGAAATAAATAAATTGATCGAGTATATAGTATACAGCGTGTCTTTACAATCGCGACAATAAATGAACACACATATAAGATTAACTTTTTAAAATTGTATTAAACATTTACATTCTTTAAACATCAATATTTACAGAGTTATTAAATTTTCCGAAACAGAATTTTAGAACATCCTTACGTATAAAACGTATAAAACTGTAACGTAAAGTTCATTTGTAACGGTCATAAAGCATATGAATGGGTTGAATGAATTTAAAAGAGACAAAACATACTGTTAGAAGGAGAGGCTTGTAATGCGACGCTGTAGCAACGAATGAAAAAGTCTCGCAATGTATGAATCAGTCAGTTTTAGTTGTATAGGGTATGTTACAATATTTTTTTCTTTTTTACTTAATTAGTTTGTTTGAAAAATATTTTTTTTATTATGGATTTTTTTAACGTTAATATTTTTATGATTATTGGCAAGTAGCGTTAGACGTGTGTTCATTTATTGTCGCGATGGTAACGACACGCTGTATACTAGCTGACCCGGCACACGTTTTTTACCATAATTTTAAATTTGTTCAAAAAAATAAAAAACATTTTTTAGGGTGAGCCACCCTCTACACAGTTACTGAGCTATCACGGCCCTGTATACAGCTCAGTGTCCGGGTGCTCGCCTTTAATTCAATATACTCGAGCAACCTGAGTTCGATCCCCGGTGCCGGCACCAATGAAGTTTTTAACTTTAAGTGCTGACTTATCACGTGCTCTGCGGTGAAGGAAAACATCGTGAGGAAACCTGCATATTTTCGAAATAATAACAAAAAAAGATATATTTCAAAGATATGTGAAGTCCGCCAATCCGCAGTGGGGCCGCGTGGTGGACTATGCCCTGATACCCTCTGTATAGAGGAGGCCTTTGCCCAGCAGTGGGACATGTATAGGCTGTTACTTTACTTTACTTTTACCCTCTACACTACTCTAGTAGGGGTATAAAAATTTGTTATAAACCTATTCTCATATCTACTGAATATACTTATGAAGTTTCATCAAAATCGGTCAAGCCGTTTCGGAGGAGTATAAGCACTAAAACTGTGACACAAGAATTTTACATAATTATAATCTTCCAGCAGTGTGTGGAGTCATCACATATAGGCAACTGATGCTATATTACTCATACTATATCTATGAGTAAAGCATTCAGTGCCATTTCGAATTCCACTTTCATCTTGGATGTAATAACGTTTGCAAGTCATGCTTGCTTAGTTGTGTTATATCTGTAATAACTGTGAGTAATACGATTTGTAAAATGTCACGTCGGCGCGGCGTGGGGTAGCTTATCGTTTAGGCCCACGCGAAATATAATTTATGTAATCGGCATTAGCATAATTCCACTCCTACCTTCGTTCGTTCTGTATCAATTTCTCTCCGCTATAGAACTTTTTTATGTGAAGTTGGCTAGCGAACCTATGGTTCCCCTTATGTTCCCTGATTATTGCCACCAAAACATAGCCCCAGTTACCTCTACCACCAGACGAAACATATAAATGTAATACTTCTACTTTACTGCAGTGCGGCCATGTGGTGGACTATGCCCTATGGCCTTTGCCGAATTGTGGACATATATAGATGTCACTTTACTTTTACATTGTTCTACTGCAGGGCCATGATACTTCCTTGACGAGCCTGCCCATTCGTGTGATGCCTGTTAGGCTTTCCTATCAAAATTGAAACCAAGCATTTAATCATTGAAAACAGAAGTAGTGCTTAGCATATGAGAGATTCACATCTAGTTCCCCTGCAGACTTCATATGAAAGCTAATACTGAATGAAGTATGGGTTCTGAATTAATGTATACCTTTGTGAATAGTTCGAATTTTTGAATTAGGTTTTGATTTCAGGAGCTTTTTGCTTATACATTATTCGAACAACAGTGGGGTAGAAGTGAAACTCGAAAAGTTAAACATCTTTATAATTATTTAAGTACAAAAGGAAATTTTATCAAAACAATAAATATAATAGCGATACCAACAAGTTTCATAGTATGTTATTTCCGGAATGCAATTATTAATAAAAATTAAACAAAAATGAAACGAGTGCACTTAACAGAGACGGGGGTTCCTTTGAAAAGATTAGCTTTAAAACGCAACGCCCGTCCATTTCCGCTTCCGCGATCAAACACGACCGGCCAACCGTCACTTCCTTTGCAGATGAGCGAGAGCCGTGGGCGCATGGACGACACAGAGACACCGGGCTCCCGGCTCCGGAAAGCCTCGACCGTCCGCCTGCCGCCTTATCTCTGTATCTGGTGAGAAACGTGCTGCATTTACTGAGGTACCACAATTTGGTATACGCCAGACGCTGCCTAAATTTCGCGATAGTACGTGGGAAATGCCAGTATATGACAAACATACAAGACAGACTCTACGGGTTATGTGATAGCTTTTTGTCTGGTTCCATTTCCAATCCGAGTAGCCAATTTATTTACTTTTATTTTAATAATCATCGTTTAGCCATCTGCTTTTCACCATGACAAGGGTTGACTGGTAGAGAATGCCATTAGGCGTTAAGTCCGCCCATTGTAGCCCTTAGCTTAAGGTGTAGGTTCTTATGTAATAGTATTTCTCAGGTTGGTATGAACGAGGTATAAACATATGATTACTTAATAATAGTGAAGGGATGATTTGATTTCACATGTAAACCTAGGTTTGCTTTGGTAGTGAACACCTGGAAGAATGAGTCAAATTTTATTTACATGAATTATACTATCATGCTGATGATGGTAATCGGCATCATAAAGAAACTTACGTAAAGTGTTAATATTTTACCTTTTATAAGTGCGTGTTTTAAGAAAAAGAAAAAATTATTTTGCAATTTACGCCCAGGTGCCAACGTTCAAAGTCAAGGGTGGAGAAAGGAAGGACGAGCTAAACAGACAATAAAACCGCTTTTTAATAAACATAATGAACGGCACGGAAGCGAGCACTGACTTCAATCGATCCACGCCGATCTACACTATAGGCACAAGCTTCATCGCGCAGTGGTGAGTTGGCTCGTTGTATAAACCTGTAACGAACATATAATAAAACACACTAAATATATATATAATAAAACTAAGTATACATTCGTCATTAATACGACGAAAACGAGTAATTCGCCTTCTCTCAATGGACAAAACTCAATGAAAAAAACTTAAATTTACCAGAAACAGTATTTCAGGCAATTCGGTTTCATCCAAGGTAAGTCTGCAAGTACTTGTTATTGTGAATACAGATTTCCATTGTGTTTTATTACACTCATCTACGTTTATGACAATTCTGAAAAGGAAAACTAATAGTCAGACTTTGTTTTTTATGCAGCCAACAATGTAGCATTTGTGTAATTGGTGCATACGAGTGTACATTAATTGTTACAATTATTTTATATTGCTAAATTTTCCAATAAAAGAGAGAAATTCAAAACGAACCCGACATTTTAAAATCCGATAAACCCGTAAAAAATTCTAAATAATTTTAAAACAGTAGTACAGAGTAATTCAAAATACTTTCATTAGCCCAATAATAATTTCCCTTCGCAATTTACTTGCTGTCATCAAAAATGTTAATGCAATGGCCAAATATAACAATATAAAATAATTGTAAAGGCGTCATTACGTAAAATGTTTTATAAACCTCTTACTCAGCTTTTCCTTTTACGAACATTTTCTTGTTAATAAGTTTTCCAGTTGCCGAACGCTCTGCAATAATTTTAATGAGCGAGTTAAGACATAAGATTAAATTTCTTACATAAAACAATAAACGTTATAAGGAAGTTAATTCATATTCTTACGTTTGGGGTGACCAATAAGGTAATATACCATACCATATATGGTATATTTGATATTTGACCATAGCTAAGTTGACCAATCGCCTAGTAATTAAAAAAAAAAATCAAATATCGTTACCTCATTGAGCATTATCTCTTTGTATAAACTAAGACTGTGTGGTATGTTCTTTCTTAAATTATCATCATGTTCAAGCGGAGCTTGGTGAGTGACGAGTACCCTCCACAAACTTTTTCTGCGTCACATTCACTTGTAGTGAAAACATGTGAATACTGGATGTTTTGCAATGTTATTCAAATATGCGTCTTTTTAGAAACGTACCCAGACATTCTAGCCAATTCAGCTTAGCGGCTAATGTCCTCATGGTGCGAAAAATAAAAAAAATTCTAAATTCACCTTTCTAATCATCTTATAATTTTATATAGGAAACTACAAAAATTTAAACACCGCACGTGTGTCCCGACTTCAACTTATCCGGAATGCCAATACTTGGTATCCAATGGTACCAATGGTACAGACGTATACCACTACAACAGCACTTTGGATGGAAGCATTAGTGGGGATGGAATTCTAGTAAGTATTGGTTTAGAGTTTTTAATACTTGATACGCAATTAACATATATCCAAACAATTTTATCCGTCGTCTTTTATTCTCTTACATATTACTACTTATAACTAACTAATAGTATATTTGTACGTTGTAATTTTATTGTTTTGGGTATCCACTGCTAAAATACTTTTAAATGACGAATTAAAATTCTAATATTAAATGATGTGCCTTACCTATGAGTGAAGAAAACGACGCTGAATCGTTAACCTGACTACTAATAAAGATTTTCTTTGAAGACATCATAACAATATTGACACGGTGAAAATGCTTTTATAATTAAACAAAATATGACATGGATTAGATTAACTTAACTTTGATATAAAAAAATACTGTGTATAATCCAGCGGTGTATTAGATTTTGGAACATAAGGTTTCTTAACTAAAAGTAACAAAACACGGATCAAAGAAACTAAAAATATCAACTTAAGTCTTTGACAATGAGCTTATACGTGAAAGCGGCGCCCTTTGATAATAAATTAGACCGGCAATAAGAGGATTAAAGGACTGAGGACAGGTTGAGCCTTCACCCTGAAATACTTTGTGGTCAATACAATTTACAGGTTCATACTTTATTGGTTAGGACTATAAAACACGTAAAAATAAAGTTCCGAAGAGAAACAAGTCATCAGTACTTAACTGTGGGAAAAGCGCGAATGTAAAATATAGGAACATAAATTGAAATCACAATGAACATTTCTCAAAAAATCAACCTTTGAACTCCGAAAAGCCATTTCCACGCGATTCCATTTTTAGACATCTAGAAGTGCTTACGAATAAACAATGTTTATGCTGAATCGGTGATCAAAACTTCATCTTCCAGCGATCGTTCTGAACACGCGAAAGGTAGAATACGGAACAATAATTCATTACTCGGGTACGTACTGCTTCAACACCCCCATGGAATATTGTTCAGCGCGCTCGACAGTTAATCGATTCTAGACCATTATCATGTGTTCATGTCACGGTCACCGGCAACGGGGAACGTCGCCGTGAGCATCGTTATTATTAGCGTAACAATACCTGGGAAAGGTTTATTTAAATGGAACCAACTACGCCTGTCATAACACTGAAAAGGGCCAGATTGCGAATCTTTGTAAATGGTATGACAACGAGTAAATGTTGACGAATTTTGTGGAGGGACGTTAAAAACTTAAATTTTTTCTATTACCGATATAATATGTTAGAACAATACTTTAAAGCTTTTTTTCATATGAAAAAGAAACAACCATACTCACATAAGAAACGCAGGAGTATAACACTTACTCTTCACGTTAGTCTTCTGTGAGGTTGTGGTTCTTCTTAGGACGAGTGTGCCCATTTGTGTAATACTACAGACTGCTGCGAGACCCCAACAAATTTGTAAGTTGTTTTATTTACCAAATAGGTTATTAGAAAAACTACATTATATTTGTGAACCCAGTGTGTAATGTTTTCTTTTTTTTAGGAGCCAGTTCTACCACCGTTCCCACTATGGATGGCAGTCATCTTCGCAACATGCTTAGTGTTAGTCATACTCCTGACGGTTAGCGGGAACGTCCTCGTACTGTTAGCTTTCCTGGTGGACCGAACGATACGTCAACCTAGTAACTATTTCATCGCTTCCCTTGCTGCTACCGACTTGTTAATAGGTACTTAGTGTTAAATAATTTTTATTTTAAACATTTTTAAAACTTTGTTTCTTTTTAATGTTCTTAAATTATTTGTCTATTTCAGGCACTTTATCGCTTCCTTTCTACACCGATTACGTTTTGAAAGGCTATTGGCATTTAGGTCCGTTACTGTGCGATTTGTGGCTATCAGTTGATTATACTGTATGCCTAGTATCGCAATACACTGTTTTGCTCATAACCGTGGACAGATTTTGTAGCGTCAAGATCGCGGCGAGATATAGAGCATGGCGTACAAAAAATCGGGTCATTTGGATGGTCACTGTGACCTGGATTATACCAGCTTTACTATTTTTTACAACCATATTTGGTTGGGAGCACTTTGTTGGATATAGGGATTTACAAGAAGGTGAATGCGCCGTTCAATTTTTGAAGGATCCTATATTTAATACGGCTTTAATAATAGGATACTATTGGACTACACTTTTTGTGTTGATTGTATTATATGCAGGTATTTTTAAAACTGCGTACGACATGCAAAAGAAAAGTGAAGCCAAGCAAAGAAAGATGCAGTCGATGGTTGCATTAAGCGCTGGGGTAATGTCTGGCATGGCGGGAAGAGCTGCTGGCATGGGAGGCTTGCCAAAGCCAACGATTTCCAGCGAAGATCAGGTAAAAGTGTCCGAATCTGAACATCAAGATCCTGTTTCGAAAGGATCTCTAGCAGCACCTTTACTCAACCTAGGCGGATCATCTGATTCAAATTCTAGTCAAAAGTCATCAGCCCATAAGAGCAGCGCTACTGTTACTGGTACATCGACAACAGTCGACTCTGATGGTGACAAGAAAGAAGAACAAGTGGAAGCCGAACGATCAAGCAGTCCAGCTTTCGATTCAGATGACGAAAGCACTACCCAGGCTAATGTTAAAAAACGACCCTCAGTTGCCAACTTAGTGATGCAGACAGGCGCTATGCAATTATTGAACAACATGCGTTTGAATGGGGGTATGCTGATTAAAACGGATTTGAAACAATCACCAATTCTAAAACATGAACTTGAAAAGCCGAAATCATCGCTATCTCAAATTTCAGAGAAAAGCCTCCTTGATATTGAATGTCATGATACTTTACCGAATATAAGAAAAACAATAGCATCGATACCCATATCTTCGGCAAGTGTCGTATCCCCAGACTCTTCAGGACTTGCAACGCCATCTGAGAGAGAGGTATCAACTACAATTGCTCAAAGAATCATTCCACCTCCATCAGAATTCAGATGCAGTCCACCAGTATCTGAAAGTCCACCATCTCATTCAGAATCATCCCGAAGTAGAGTTCTCAGATTAGTCAAAGGTGATGGCAGTAGTTATGATGTGCTGGTAGGAATGGATGGCGCTGATTTGAGATATATGGATGAAAGTTCGGTCATTGTACCTTCACCTACTAATGAAAGCCCACCATTGTCAATCACCTTTCCAACCGCCACTGAACCATCATCTCCTCCGAGCCTTAATTCGGGTAATGTAACAAATACTTCGTTATTGCAGGCTGCTCTTATTCGAGCAACAGCTGAAGCTCAAGTAACACAACCTAAAACAAATTTTTCTCCACCACCACCAGTAAAAGTTAATACCGAGGTAAGTTTAACCACCGGGGAACGACCTAAGCCCGTGATAACCCTTGTGTCATCGTCTTCCAATAACAACGAACCCTTGCCCCCTCAAGAATCAGATAATAAAGTAGCTTCAGTAAGATTGGTAGCAGGAATAAGTCAAGCTATGGAAAATAGTGATGTATCAAGTCCAGCCGTGAGTGGATCCGGGCGCAATGACTCTAAGAAAGAATTCGTTAAAAATATAGGAAAGAAGTTGAAAGTAAAGCGGTCAAAACGTGAGGGTCTATTTCCAAGTATTGGACGCCAGAAGTCGAAATCGGAGAACAGGGCCAGAAAAGCATTTAGAACTATATCGTTTATACTAGGAGCATTTGTAGTTTGTTGGACACCATATCATGTTTTAGCTTTAGTAGAAGGGTTTTGTACTGATCCCCCTTGCATTAACAAACATATTTATATGTTCTCATATTTTCTGTGCTATGCTAATAGTCCGATTAACCCTTTCTGTTACGCATTAGCTAACCAGCAGTTCAAAAAGACCTTCACGAGGCTATTACGGGGGGACTTTCACATCACCTAGTCCATGTATGTCGGTTACAAAAACGCGTAACTTTTGTACGCTGTCATACAGTGTCCAAATAAAAGTATTACGCACACGAGAATCTTAATTCTCCATTGTAATCATAAGACAATACTAATTATTAAAATGCTTTGAATGTGTAGACTTATATGGAAAATTCGTGAGTGTGTAGCATATAAAATGTTTAATTGTATAGCAACGTTTTCCAGGTTTATTAATGGTTGATTTGAAATTAACAGTACGTATTGTAAATAATTAGTAGTAATGTTGTATAATTGTAAGAATATTACTCCATCTATGAAGTTCAGAACTGACAATAAAAAGTTAAATGTTGTAATTAAGGTTTAGGTTATAAAATTTAAAAAGTCTCTTTATATTTCTTGTAGGGTTCAAGAAAGGTTAGGATAATATGTCAATAGGTCTGAGTTTAAATGTAACCAGTTAATATACATATAATATTGTAAAACGGAAGGAGAGAACGCTATAAATGTAATCACTTTGATCTTAGTGCCTCAAATACGAAAGAGTCTAATCCATTTGGATTGTAGAACGAAGACTTTGTAATTTGTATACAGTATAATTGCATTTGTAAACTCTATGTAAAATAATAAATAATTCTTCATTAATTTACATCTCCATAGCGATATTTCGATTATTTAGTTATAACGCTTAAAAGCTTTAAGCCTTGAGCCCAGCTAAAGATTTTTAGCGTTAAACAATAATTGTCAATTAAATGTTAGTTGTGTTAATTATGTAGAACCATTTACTATTTCCTGTAGCTACTAATTATTCTTTACCGATTTAACGGTCAATTAGGATGTTCAGCGGTACAATTTTTCCTATACATTTTTTATACGTGTGTATATATGTATGTATATGTATACTGTCCCGTGTATTTAAAATGTCATAAAATTTAAAACCGTATTTATATTAAATTTAAAAGTCTTGGTGATGGAATTTCAATGTTTTCTTTTTTCAATTTAATTTCATGCTCTTTCTAGAGTTCTCTGTAGAAACTTACAGGCCTAAATAACAATTAGTTTTAAATTGTGAATATTTGTTTTAATGTATAATCCTTATTATGTGGTAACACCGTTAGATATTATATAGAATGTGTTTAAATATTTCTATTGTCTAATGCTTCAATTTAGAGAAGAATCGTTTACATTTGTATCTTTTACGAATACTTTAATTCTGTACTGTATGTGTACTGTATTTCACATACAAGTGTTATGTTTGGATGATTTAATCTGTTGAACTTTCATAAAAAAATATAAGTTATTCAAATAACAATAATGAGATTATACAAAGTGTATTAAAGGGAATTAAAGTTGAAGCTTCATCGCATAAATTTACAATATCCTTGTGTTTTCAGTATTAAGACGTATTTATAACAGTATTAGATTCTTCTATTAGAAAATATATCTTGTTATGAGAAATGAAAGACAAAAGTGAAATATATTTAGATATAATAATCGAACATGACGGAGAATAGCGTTATAATAGCAAGTACAAAATAAAATTATACTTAAAACTATTCATTATCCTGAATATTTAATGGAAAACTTAATGTAGATATGTAACACAAAAGTTAGACATCACATTCAGAATATTTTGTTCCGGTAAGTTCTACTAAGTATTTATAAAAGTTGGAAATTTTAATTATACTTGACAATTGCCCCTACGTTCTATATATTTTATATCCTAAGCTTCAAAACGAAATCTTAATGCAGGACAAACGAAAGCATTTTTAATTCTAATCTTAGTTCCAAGTTTTTGTTCATATTTCTATGCTTTATATTATTTGTATTTTACTTTAGTTACTTTATGCGCCCATCCACCATCGTCAGCCATATATTTTTCTCAGTTTTGTCTTTTGATCTAGTTAATAAAATTACATTATATTCTTTGTCCTCTTCTTTCTGTCCCAATGCCAATAAGATGAGGTCGGCAAAACATGTGAATCATATTGTTAACGTTGTAAGTGGTTTTTCTTACCCCCGGCCGCCTGCCTGGAGTCCAAAGTTCCAAGTTACAAACCAAGCATATCTGCTCCATTACAGAAGAGATTTAAATCGGATGGTAAGGAAGGTAAAGGATGAAAGCAATAAATTTCAATCAAACATTTCATATGTTTCGAAAACAACTAAAGGTGCTGATGAACCAACCGCTTTGTGGTGGATTACAAACAATCTAGGATTATTTTAGGATTGTTTTAAGCTCTCATTGAACGTTTAGAAAATTACTCTTGTTGTCTGTTTTCTTAACGACATAAACATAAATATATAATACTCTAGATTAAATTACGGTTTATACTATTACATGGTAAAACAATGTATCTTGTATCGTTCTTGGAGCTAAAGTCGGACTTATTCCTTGAGTACAGGATTAGAAAAAGGCAGTCGTGTAAGTGCCTCCAGAACAGTCAAAGAATTTACAACCCATATATTACCATCTATTGTTAGATCGGCTATGATAACATGATGTAATAATAAAAATTTATTTTCCTCTAATATACAGGGTGGCTTTTCTAAAGGTGCCCAAATTCACACAGGAGGTTAGGACTCGGCAGTACAGTCGTTTATTGAAATAAAAACAATCTTATTTTTTTCAAAAAGTTGCCATTCTATTCCCTAAAAAACAGAACTTGTTGACAATGTAGTCATTCATAAATGCGTCGTATACTTTTGAAACGAACTTGTGTGCGTGTTAGTTATGAATGATCGCGCGTAAAATAAATGAGTAGCCCATAAATCACACACTTTTCTGAAATAAGTTCAAATAAATGTAATTAATTAATTCCGAGGGATTTTAAATATTTATAATTTTTATATAACATTATTTGTCTAGAATTTAATTTTAAAAAATGGATACACTTAAAAAAGCTTCCCTGTATACATATTCTTTTCTTCTAATATATCCAACATCGATAGATTAACGTGAAGAGGACACTCTGATATAAATGAATAAAATTGTATTTAATCTCACATGTTTAATAACACCAGCAATAACCATTAACCGCTTTCATATTTTCTTAATAATATATTTATCTGTTCTTTTCACATATGTATATATGTCATCGAACAATGTGAATTTTATATAAATATATACCCATATCACTGTGAAAACTTTGTCATGTGTTGATTTTTTATTATAACCTATATATTTTTAAATTAGCTTATAATAACTGGCTGGACACTTACTGGCTCTCTCTATATAGTAACAGTAACAGTATCTATCTTACAATATGAATTGTAGTTGATAAAGTTTTAACTGAATCATCTGCCTGGTGTTCATATCAAACAAAATTGAATGTACTGAACTGACTAATACGGCAAGGTCTTTATATATACATATATGTATTTTGCATGCTAAAATTATCGATGTATTCTGATGGAAGATGAGTTTAATGCAAATAAATGAAATAGATTAATCCGAATTCGCTTTTCATTTTTAACATCCCATTGGTGAGTTCTAGATCTCTCTGGACTGTTGGGTTGCTGATGAGCGGTAAGCCATTTATTAAGTAGTAATCTATCTATGAAGACGTATTCCATCCGGCCTGGCAGGAGAATATAGAATATAAGAAATCAGGTAGAATACGTATAGAATACGAATTCTACGGCCTGATGGCTGTAGATGTGGTTTATCCAAGCTCTCAATGTTCGAAACACTGGAGTCACAGAGAACCAAATGCCTTTTGGATTAATTCCATTCAAAAATCATTAAGCCAGACTTACGCGTGATTTACGATAACAGGCTCAAGAAATTTGTCATTTTATCCCGTCGAAATGACATTTGTCGAATCATGGTTACACTACATCCATCTCTGTCTTTCTCGTTAGGGCCATGCGAAAGGCCCTGTTCAGTATAAGCGTCATTTTTTGTTACTAGAAAACTTTCTAACGGCAGGCCACTTGGAAAATTTAATGACGTAAAACTTTTTTAATAACAGTAAGGAGTTCAGTGCCTGTTGGTGATTCTGAGTAACCACTTGCGTTACAAAATGAGGATAAAAATTATACGTTAATTATTCGAAATATTATGCATACAAATTATACGAAAATAGCAATAAACTCTAATGAAGTAACTTGTAGACACCTTTACATATGTTTTGAAATTCTAAATTAAGTTTAGCAATTAATTATGTTGATTAGTTAACATGACTATTCGGTTAATGATTAAAATATGTGATATAAATTCGAAACAATTCATTTTTGTAACTGAAAAGTACTAATAATGGTCATTTTTGAGGAGTTCAAATTAATTTATTTGAAAGGAATAGTTATGTGAAATAAACATAATTTAAAAGAAAATTATGTAATTTATAATATTAGCTTTATTTGCAATATTGTGTCTTTATGTACAATATTCGCTTAAATTGTTATTGCTTAGATTTTAAGTTCATACTGTTTTTCATTAAAACTATACATTAAATGAAAGCTACAATTTTCTGTACAAATTGTCTGTCAATTATTGTTCTTGGTGGCATATAAAAAAAATGTTTATTAGGTGAGGTTACCTTTATTTAATTGAATTAATGTGAGCCTGTTCGAGTCCACTGTTGGACACTGACTCCCACACAGACTACTAAACGCGACCCTGAGCAACCTGTAGGTAGCATCGCTTAAGGAACGGATAAATAAATTAATTAAAAACAATAATTATATGCAGTGGGACTGCATATAATTATATCAAAACTTATCACTCTTTATTGACACCGTTAAAAATATTAAAATACACCGGTATAAGGGGAAAACATGAAATAAGCATTTAATAATTACTTTAAAAAGGCGTGCATACGCTTTCCTATATTAATTGGCGTTAAGATTTCTAACTCATTACTAAGTCAGTGATCTATCCGTACTCATATCGTCCATCACCTTACGCAGTATTAATCCAGTTCCATATTGGCGATTCCGCTTCGTGCTTCCTCACGGAACGGACGTTAGTCTGAGCCGGAGGGCCCATGCCAACCGACCCGGAAGCCATCTTGC